GTGAGCAGCTTAGCTCAGTCAGCTAATCTGCTGGTAGCCACTGTGTGTGCGCTGAACCGTGGAGACTCTAGGTCCGGTTCAATTCCCATCACTGCCTCTTCTTGTGTTTCAGCTAGAGGGCTGAAATACAAGTTACAATAGCGCACCGTCTGAGACGTTTAAGCCGTTGATCCCGTGTGCATTTATGGCCCATGTGCATGTTAACGAACGCAGTACACTCTTCGGAAAAGAGTAGGGGATTGTCTCCCGGTGTACTGCCCAATCAACACCAGAAGGACCCCACAGGAAATAAGTCTTCTTCTAGACTTTCGTGGGCTATCCTTGGTGTTTACACCGAATAAATCAATCCAATCCACAGAGAGCGAATTTGGACTCGTTGTGCAACCGTCGTACAATGCAGCGAGTACCCGGCTTAATTTTTGTATATTTTACTTTTATATTATCAATCATCCGTTGTAAAGCAGCTGGCGATGGGTATTACAATACACAGCAAAGTAAATTGCTAGAGAAAAAAGCTCATTTTACCAGACTCCTCAGAAGTACAATACCTTAACTTGGGACCCCTGTGTTAGTAAATTGAATTGAGTTAGGTGGATTGAATAAAATATATATGTCAATCGTGATGTCGTCACTGCAACTAGTGCCTATCCCCAACAGTTCACACAGCATACTGATGATACCACTATAGCAACCCATGACTGCTACAACAGTTGGTTATCAAAACCAACATTAAAAGATGGCGATTGATTGTAAAGTATAGCTGCATATATCGTACACTAGGGAAAAATTATTATACTTAGGTTAGATTAATAATGCATTCGAAAATTGCCTTTGGGACTTGCAGGCCCACAGGAAATTTGTTCAAATCTAACTTTCGTATAATAATTTTCCGCTAGTGAACTATGTGCAGCTCTACTAATTGCTTATTAATGACAAATAGAGATGACAGAAAATAACTGACTTACATCTTCCAATTCACTACTTACCCAATATTTTATTTGACACAACATTGAAAACCTCATGTACAAAATGTATTTACAAAAGTCAATTAAAGACACTTCTAGGAGCAAAGAGTGAAAAATAAGTGGGTTTATTCAGCGAAATTAGCTCAGTCTGTTTAAAGGTGGTAGCCACTGTATGTGTTCTAAACTGTGGAGTTCCATTACAGCTCTCCTTTGGTTTCAGGTGGAGAGCTGAAATCCATGTACCTCTCAAAAACAATTGGTCTTGTGTGCAATATAGCCCATGTTCACACAGTTTTAATAAAAAAGAGTAGGGAGTTGTCTCCCGGTGTACTAACTAATTCACCACCAGAAGGACCCAACTGGAAACAAGCCTTCTTACTTTCATGGGTCATTCGTGGCATGCTTCACAACCCAAGAATTTCAATCCAAAATTTCAAAATCAAGAGATTTTTTATCGGTTAACATCCATGACTATATATGCAAACAATTGGAATATTAATTGGGTATGTAATTAATATCCGGAGAATCGTAGTTGGTTTTAAATCAGGAGTGGGCATAAAACTACTAAGCTCAATTTTTCATAACACCTAGGGGCCCAATTAACGTTTTCAATGTGTTTGCAAAAACCTTCATACTGCTTTGGTAGCGCTTTATGCTCAGTTTTAACGTTAAATTTTTAATAGATTATCGGCATCTGGCAGTTTACAGTAAGAGGTTTATTAGCCAAAGATTGTAGGCGGGCCACACATGTAGGGTTTTTTAATATATCTTTTGCATGCGGCCAAACTTTTGTTGTGGCCTGCACTTTACACACCTGTGGTTTAAATCCATCATCAGGGAGCTTACGATTGTACGACGACGGTAGGACATAGAGCGTAATGACGTCACTAAAAGTCATCTCTGCATGCGAGAACGTTAAGTTCTCCTTGTCCCATGGATCCTAGGGCTGAATTTGGCCAAATCTACGTATGCAGGACGTCCTGTAGGATGGACGTCCAAATCGAAAGCACCCTATTATATGCAGAGGATTTGAACATTCTTGGGTATGTAAAAGACGATTTTGACATCAATAAGATAGTAGTCAGTTTACTCCATGATGATTTTAACAATCCTGGATATTGTACATTGGAAATTGTGATGGCAAGTAATCCTTCGCCTCTATATACGGAGTATTTGAGCCGCTGACCGAGATACAACTCCTTTACCTTGACCATTGTCATCTTCCACTGGGTATATCACCAGACGGCCGTAAGTACCACCTACTTGACCTTTGGTCAGACGTCCAGGATTAATGCAGAGGCAGTCATCTACTTCCTGTTAGATTAAATATAAATTGGTACAAATTAAAAAGATACAAGCTGAATTAAACAGCAGTTCAAAGTCTTTGGCGATTTGCAGAAGCCTCCCAGAAAAGCAACACGGTCTTACGCACTTTTGTGAGCAGGCAAAAAAAAATCAATGTACAGTAATCCCACATGCACATGTTTACATACATTTGCACGCTATTGTTTTGTAGAACCTTAATAGCAAAAACATCCAACAGAAGGGGCTTAGCGGACGTTGGTTCTGAAATATCACATACGCACAAAAAGAATTCAGTACATCATTTCAGAAGAGTAGGGTGTCTCCCGGTTCACAGACCATGGCAGGTGCTACAATGAGGCCACAGTGGAAAGGCTGGAAAAAGTGCATGACCGCACCGCCCACAGTTCAGAGGCAACATTAATGTCTCTGAGGCATCTTAGCAGGAAAAAATTTAAATATAAATTGTTGGTCTATATAGTGTACTGCTGACATTGGTACTGGAGGCATTTTATCGAGACAACTTTCATCATGGTTGGAGGCACAAACATTTTTTTTTTCCAGGCCTGCATGGGGGCACCCTTGGGGACTTATCTAAATTGTCCTGTGCTGATATTCAACATCATTTATTGTCCATATCAAAAAATAAAGAAAAAGGAAACTGTAAAAAAACTGAATAATTTCTAGGACTAACCTTCAGAAAGTATCTAAGATTGGATGGCACGATCAGAACATCTGGTGTTACTGACATCTTGGCGTATCTTTCAAACTGTTCATAGTCCACAGGCACGCCGCATGGAGGTGGATACAGAGGGTAGTAGGTCTGTTGGGTTAGAAGATGCTTCACCAGTCGGCCTAGCCTATCAGAAGCACCTGGTGGACTAGAATCAATATAGATTAATTTATAAAAAATTTATAAAAAAAAAAATTTAACCAAGTTACAAGGTAGATAGTATTAGATGTGGGCGACCAATCAGTCAAGGGTGTAAACTGGTCATTTAAATTTTTGAAATCCTGGACGTAAATATCTATAAAAAGTTTTCAATGAGGGTAAATGAAACTTTTCTATAATAGTTAGTAAAGGTCCAGTAAAGAAATGACTGAATTTTTGTGATGATCCAGCATAGGGTGTGAATATAAGGACCATTCAAAGGAAAAAGTCCCAGACCAGATACTTTAGAAACAGGTCAACTGATCCAAATGAAACTTTCGGGAAAGTTTAACCCAAGTTACAAGGAAGATATTATTATGTGTAGGGGACGATCCAGGTTAGGGTGTAAATTGAGGATCATTTAAATTGCTTACGTCCGAGTTATAGATGGATAAAGATGACACTTTGCGGAATAGTTTTTCATGGTGAAATGAAGAAATGATCCAATTTTTGTGATGATCCACAGTAGGGTGTGGATATGAGGACCATTTAAACATTTTTTTGTTGACAGTTGATTAAATTATTTAAACGCAATTTGCATTTTTAAAGCACCTAAACCAGTTACAGATGGGTTAAACTCAAAACTACCGTGACATGCATGAACAATTTTTGCTTTCAGTGATTGAATCACTATGAACTAAAAATGCACTTTCCTATTCGAGGTCGGCTCATATGGCGTGCAATGGTTTTGAGTCACGGTGTACCTCGCTCTTACCATTGCAGCTATATTCACTAATAACTTCGCAGTGAACTTGGTTTTCGTTTTTTTGTTTTTTTTTTCACTTCATTTTCTTCCACTTCATTAAAATTATATTGGTTTTTCATGTTTTTTTTTAACTTTATAACTTTTAACGACAATTTTATTTTTGTTGAATATTCCATTTACATATATACTTAATAACTTAATTGGTGAGGTACCTGAGAGAGATTTCTTCTGCACCTAGGTGGAACAGAATATCAGTAGTTGTCAGGCCAAACACAATACCACTAATGTTGAGAGTACTTGGATCCGACACAAAATGGATTCTCTAAAAATTAAAATATAGAAAATATACATGCTAAATAAAAGATGTATAAATAATACAACTACATAATCAGTGCAGTGGTGGCGCCAGCAGTGGGGGGGAGGGGATTTCCCCAAGATAATTGTCTTGCCTCTGCCCCACCCAAGAAGAAGAAAAACCACAGTTCGTAGGGGAGAAAAAAAAATTATTTTCTACATATTAGTAGACTATCTATCTAAAAAATTGATTAAATAAGCCTATGAAACCCCTGAATTGTCATATTTTTCGGGGGCTTAGCCCCCTGGACCACTTTTGAGACATTTTGAGCGACACCTGACCACGCCCACTTCAGGCCACCCCAGAATATTTCCCCCTAAAATTTTACCTTGCCCCCCACCCCCCTCCAGATTTCAGACTCTGGAGCAGCCACTGAATCAGTAATAACATAAACATTATAATGAAATATAATAATTTAATTTAAATATTTAATTTTTTCTAATTTTTAACATAATTTAAATCAATTAAAAACATTGAATTGCTATTACAAAGGGAAAGCTTTTACTGCTTTTCTTAAAGTTATTACCAAATACAGGCATAATTATTATATAAATAGGTTTCAAAAGAATTGTCAAAATAAAAACAACTTGTTGAATATTAAAATTACATTCTAATTTTTAGTCTGATGGAGAGAGGCCATTTCCAGCTACCTAGAAACATCTGCCAGAGTCATAAAATTTCGTACCTCAGACCCAACCATGCTGAAGCTGAGGTAGTCTGGCCGACTCGTCTGTAAAATTGCCTTTCTCGGCCCCCCTCTCTTTTGAATTCCTGGATCCATCACTACCATTTGTTTATTGAAAAGAAAATATTTTCTTGTAATTTTTAATCAAAAGCTAATAACTTTTTTAAATTTACAAAATTGGAAATTCAAATACTGGTATTGAATTTTTCTTAGCTCAACAAATACAATTTTTTTTTTCAACTATTACAAAAACTGTCAATATTATTGCTGACTGTCCCCCCCCCCCAAATTATATATTTATTCTGCCTTTAAAATGATATCACTTTAAGTGACACCACAGTGATCTCACTAGTAGATCACATGAACAAGAAAAGAAAATCAAAAAATAAAAATATAAAAAAAATAAAAGAAATAAATTTAAAAAAAAGAAATATACATAAAAAGAATTATACATAAACATTAATATATAGAAACATAAACTTAAATTAAACAAAAAAATCAAATTTAGTTTTGATGAATGCACACCTCTGAGTGGTCAGATTATTAACTATTTGAAGTTAAAGGTCATTCAACTTGTTTGAAGTTAAAGGTCATTCAACTCGTTTGACTTAAAGGTCATTCAACTCTATTTTAATTTGGTTTGAAAGTTTGTTGCATAGTATAAATATGTTTCTACTTTATCTCCATCGAGGTGTTGTTTGAATTACTTCTAGTGCATTAAGAGTGGCTATTTTTTTTTAAATTAAAAATGAATTTGTTACATATTTTTAACAAGGCTATACCTCATATTCTTTTTGTTCCTTTGCATAATTCTTCAGATGCTCCTTTGAATATGGAGGACAGGGGAAAACACAATGGTGGAAGGCATCTCGGTACGAGGACACAAAAACCAAGTGTGTATTTGTGCTGTGGATAAAGGGGAAAGAAACTATGTTTATTAGTTACAGTCAGCACTCACCCTGTAAAATTTCCAATATATACATACACAAACAAAGTTGACACAGATATACATTATATTTTACTGTTTATACCTTGTATTATTAGACTTGGAATCCACTGCCTTCTTCCGGGGATTTGTCAGACACCCTGTCGGGGAGCTTTTTCCCCACCCGCAATGTATATCCTTGAGTAGACATTGGACCTACCAACCCTTCTTGCCAAGCTTTTTTCCTCTCATTTTGTTGCTTTTGTTCTTATAAATTTAAATAGTTAAACAAAATTGTTTTATTTGTTCATGAAAAAAAAAAGATTTTATTATTCTACAGACAACACAATTCAGACCTTACAGATGCATTTACAGACATAGCTAAATATGAAATGACTAGTGTACATTTGAAATTTGGCTTTCATCCAGAAAAGCTTCAAACGGCAGTAGGTAAAAAGACAATTATGTGCTTTATATTATATGAAAGGTTTTCAATTGTCTTTTACCTATTAACAATAATGTACTCCTTATTATGTCTGCTTGATAACTTCATCATCCGACAACATTAATTCTAATTTAATGTGGGTGGCCTGATAGCGTTACATCATGCCTCACTAACAAGCATGATAGCAAAACAAGCAATTTGGCCATAAAACAAGATGTCTATTAATTACTTATTTTTTTTGCTGACACAAAATGTTCTCCTTTAAGTAGTAGGTGAAAGGACAACTATGTGAAAGTTCTCTTTCAATTGCCTTTTACCTTTATTTATTGAAGCCGGTGCCTTCGGCCTAGGTAAAAAAAGGAGGCCCTAACTAGGCCTACTTACTTTATAACTATATAACTTTATATAAATACTAGATTATATTGAGGAAGGACTAGTGTTGTCCGAAAGCTGTCTCTTATACACATCTAGATGTGTATAAGAGACGGGGCCTAGGCCAGATGTGTATAAGAGACAGTCCATATTCTGAAGGTACAAACAATAAATAAAAAAAGGAGAAGAGGATTAATAATAAAATTATCTATAGATTAATAATAATAAACTAATCCACTTCAATAACAATAATAATTTGTAATTCTTAATAACAATAATTATCATTATTATAAAATTACTATATTATTATAAATATAAATATAATCTTAAAGCAATTATTATAACTGTAAACCATATGTTTGATAGTTGTTATTACAAAGTTAAATAATTGCATGTAACAACTGCCTGGGGGTTCAAATCAATCATCTTCAATTTGAAATTATCATACGTAAAGGCCTGGCTAGTTACTGCAGGCTGAAATACATTTGTGTGGTCGATAACAACAAGTTAACAATGCCATACCTAGGGTCTCCAGACATTCATTTTGATATTCTTAATAGGATTCAAATACCCAATTCTTTTTGTTTTTCTGTTATTTCCATAAAAAACTATGAATTCCTTGAAACCTTCAGTAAGCATGTTTTATGACTTTTTGTTTCTTCCTCACGCATATACAAACGAAGGCCATCGTTTGGAAATGTAAGTGGCGCTAGGTTGTTTTTAGTTAACTAAAGAGGCAAGCTTACGTTGTATCCATTTTCTAGTAAAACATATTTGATTTTTACAACTGGAAGACTTACCACAATCAATTCCTGGTCTGCATCCATAAATGGTCCGAACTAAAAAAAAAAAATTATATATGCATAGTTATAACATGATTTGAAAAGGATTGCAACATCTATTATGCGTAGGGGCAGGGGCGGATTTAGGGGGGGGGCGGTCCTGCCCCCCCTTTTGGGAGGTAAAAAAAAGAAAAAAAAGAGAGAAAAAGAAAAAAATGATAGCCCAGAATGCCTCAAATGTTATGTTCGGGCGTCTAGAACACAAAAATTTCGCGGGGGAATTCCCCGGACCCTCTACGACAGTGTTGTCTCAATCGGCCCAACTTTCGCCCCCCCCCCCCACTTTTGGACATTTCTGGATCCGCCCTTGCGTAGGGGGACAAATTCACAGAAGCCAAAATGTCTGTGACACCGGCACTAGCTTTTGGCGACTGCAACCAAGTAATATCAACAAACTTTAACTGTTACAAAAGATTGTATGTAAATTTTAGAAATATAATTTTAATATTTCAAACACCAAAAAATACACAAAAAAAAAACACTCATGGTAGCCCTGACTATTTTATTTTATTTTATTTTTTTTATTTATTTTTTTTTTTAACTTTTATTATTTTATTTTATTTAACAAGAACATGCGAGTTGCCTAAATATGGTCATGGTGGTGACATCACAACATGACCATATATAGGCACATCAAAACTATATAAGGGTATACAACAGTTTGTTGGAAAAGGAAACTTGATAATCTAACGGTGGTTTACATCAGGGCACATAGTGTGTCCACCGACGAATCTACCTCTGCTGTTTGTTAGCGCTTGACAACATGATGGTATGTTGCGGCCAGCTTAACATCAAATGCCACGTGTATATATATCTATGGTTTTAATGCATTGACCATCATTCAGCATTTTACTGATCTGAATAAATTTTAAAATTCAAAGATATAATCCAAACTTACCAAAATACAAACATCTGGCATTTCCTGTTGTATCATCTTAATTAGGTCATCAAGAGGCTCGTACTGGTCACTATCGGACGGTGTAAAAGGACCGGCAGCCATTGCAACGTGTAGTGATCCATGATCTAGTAGGGAATTTGATGTATCACTTGGCAACGGTAAACTTTTTCCCTAAAAGTATGTAATACAAATAAATATAATAATAATTATAATATTATTACAACAACAAATAGTGAAAAGTCCAAAAACTCCAAACACAAAATCTGAATGAGAGTCGGTGGACCGACATCATCAAAATTTGACTCAGTGGGTATTAAAGTTGTTTACATCGCCAAAGTCCTATGCTAATGCATTGAGTGTAGTCTAAAGTGGCGTCTATTAAATTATCTGAAATGTAATGAAGTGTAAGCGTAGAAGATACTTTAAACATTGTATACATTTTGAATGATTCATAGATCCATGAGATTAAGGTTGATTTGATTTAAATTTCCATTCAGTTTAAACATACAAAGAGTTTCAAGACCTTCTAGGGGGCCTAGGCCCATTGCTCGTGAACTCGCCATATCCAGCACTGACTAATGTGATCACTGTTGATTTAGAGGTATTGTACATATTTAGATTAAATACTGTCATTAAGTCATTTTGTTGCAATTTCTGTATGAAATATTTACACTATTGGACAAACTTAAATTTCTGACTTGTAGAATAAGATTTCTTTTGACTACGACGGCCAATGAGTCAGAAGAACGTTGTTTGTATGACTCTCTAGTCTAGGGCTAGGCCTGTGTCCATGCAACGAGGCTATGCAAAATGTTCAAGTTTTTCATTTGTTTCTTTCTTTGACGTTTTTTAAAGGAATATTTAGTTTTCGATAAAGTTAGTTTAGATAATATGTACAATTAAATGAGGTGTTTAAAAACTGTTGAAATTTATTCGAGCTGAGGCTTATTACCGTAAAAACCTCGAATAGAATTCAAATGGCTTAATCTCGAGAAGAAGCCCATATTGAATTGAAGCCCCCTCTTTAGTTTGCAAAAGTAGCCTCGAAAAGAAGCCCATGGGGCTTCTTTTCAAGATAGCATGGTAACTAATTCAGTCTATTGCCTTAAATATGCTGGTAAACAATTTAAGAATTTTTATTGTAAAATGCCTGTAAATCAGTGGAAAAATAATAGTTCTTGTTCTGTTACTAGTTGAAAGTTTATAAGTTCAAATGTGCTTTTCATAGTTTTAATAACATTTTTTATGTTTTTTTTTTTGCAGAAGTATATCTTTCAATAAAATACAGAGTAAATATTTCCAGTTTCATGTTCAAAAGTTTTTGAAGTTCAACAAAGACTGAAAAGTACCTATTGTTTTAAATGATCTGCTATTAAAATGTACATTGTTTTAGAATAGTTTAATAACCATGGTAAAATGTTGCATCCCTGGTAATATATCTTTTTATATACCGCATACATAGATTCTGGGCATCTGATTGGTTAAGAAGTGGACAATAACTTCAACCATCATTCCTATGGAGCAAGTTAAATGTTGCGATGTAATCTTAGTTGCTATGCAATATATGACATCCACGTACGGTAAAGAGGATGTGACTGCTACAGACATTGAGAGAGATTGGCCCTTTGATTGCCTAGGCCTAGGAAGCAATCCTAGGCCTACTTGGTGGGTACTCTTTTCATTACATTTTTTAGGCCTTGTAGAATCTATGTATGATGTATATAAAACAAATATTGACTGCTCTAGTTTTGGAAACGGAGAAACAAAGAAATCTATAGCCCCTCAGTGATGTGGAAACCGAAGCCTACTATAGTAGGCTACATTCTCCACATCACCTCGGGGCAAAAGATTTCACCATTCCCCTTAGAAGCAATCAATATTTGTATGTCATTAAACAAGAAAAGTTAATTTGTAAAAATTTTACTTTATATATTTGGGATGCAACAAGTTTATTCCCTGTTGTGTTGCTACCATCAACAGCAACAATTTGCCCCGGAAATAAGGAATATTCCTTCAGCTCTGACAAATTGAGGTGGACACGCCTTCCCGACGATGAGTCTACGGAGCCCTCGAGTAGAACAGAGGATGAATTCAATCGTCCATTACTGTCGCAGCAGATTCGACCAATCACTGTTGTTGACTCCTGAAATACAAAATTTATGGTTGATATAAAAAAAACTGACATGTGACTAATGTAGCCAGCAGACATTTGGTATCCTTTACCCTTTTAAAGTTAATTAATAATGCAAATTATCCATTTTTTAGTAATTATGAATAATTAATATATAGATAAGTGCTACTAAATAACTTATAATTCGAAGTAGTACTAATCTACTTATTAATTATTCATAATTTAACTTTGGCTTTCTTTTTTCCAATGGTTATTTATTTATCAATTCAAAAAAGTCAATATAAAAGTTAAAAATTTATTAGTACAGTATGCTAAAATTATTACCAAAGGAAATAAATATATTCTAATGTAAATGGGTATAGTTAAATTATTATGAGGAACAGCTCTTATTGAAAAAAATGTGCAGAAAAATGTGCATATTATTAATATAATATTTATTATATCATTAATAATGGTATTTTTATTGTTATCATTATTACTATTATTAAACATAATATATATTTATAAACATATATTTCTTCCAAACGAACAATAAAATCAAGATTTTATTATTAATATCCACATTTTGTTGTAATTATTAAAATATATTTCTACATATTTTATTCATTATTGTTTAATTATTATTACCCCAATTTCACATGCAAAATAATTCAATATTATGTGCATAAATTAGTGAGTTTACTTGAGATTTTCACTATTATTTTATTATTATTTTGCAAAAAATAGGTGCTCTATATCATACCTGAATCGGCATGGCAACATGAGAAATACATTCAATGCTGTAGGTTTCTTGTAGATGCTGCCCTATGTCCTCTATAATGTTATCAAGAACTGAAAAAAAAAATGTGTACAAACTACAAACTACACACACATATGTAT